GGGGGGGGGGCACGGTCAGCTCTGGGCTCTCCCCCTGGCTGGGAGAGGGGACCTCCACATGCCACAGTAGAGTCACACAATCTAAGCAACCACAGCCAGAGCCTTGTGAAAGCGGGGAGCACAGAGGCCAGGCCCCGGAAGTGTCCCCTGAGCCTCACCGCCAACAGCAAGCCTGACCCCCCTCTGCCTGGCCCCCAGTGCCCAGCGGGCCCCCAAGGAAGGTGGAGGTAGAACCGCTGAACTCCACCGCGGTGCGCGTCACCTGGAAGCTGCCCATCCCCAGCAAGCAGCACGGCCAGATCCGAGGCTACCAGGTCACCTATGTGCGGCTAGAGAATGGCGAGCCCCGAGGCCCCCCTGTCATCCAGGACGTCATGCTGGCTGAAGCACAGGTGTGTCCCTGGTGGGGGGAGAAGGGTGGCCAGCATCTACCTCTCGTTTTGGGGCCCCTGAGGTCAGCAGCTGAGGGCCCGGTTCCAGGTTCCTGAAACGCCCTCTTCTGCCTTGGATGTGTCCGAGCTGTGGCATCTTAAGCCCAGGCAGCCTCCTTTGTCCTGGTGACAGTCCCAGCACAACTCTGTGATTGATTCCTCCAGGCCCAGGCTGCCCTGGCCATTCCCTGCCTGTCCCAGCACCAAGCCCTCTCCCCACCCCCACTCCCTCTGTGTTGTACAGGGAGGTGGGTTATTGAGACAGCTCTTCCCCTAACAGCCAGAGGGCAGGAGAGCCCCCTAGGCCATGTGCTCCCCTGCCTGAGCCCCTGGAGGATGGTTCAGCCCCGAGGTTTGCCAACCAGGCTCAGGCTTTCCTCCGCGCCTGTCTGTCTGATGGCAACTGGCCAGAGTTGGGTGGGGGTGTTGGTATGCGGTTCAGCGGAAGAGCATGGGGTATTGAGGAAATGCAGGTCACCACTTTGAACCCACCAGCCGGCTCCATGGGAGAAGGATGAGGTTGGCAGTTTCTGGACGCCTGCAGGGTAGTTCCGCTCTGTCCTTTAGGGGAGCTGTGAGCCAGGACAGATCCAGAATCACCCAGCAAGCCAGGGAGTGGCCGAGCCTGGGCGTGGGGGTGGGTGGGGCTCTCATGCCTGCCCCATGCCCTTCCCTCTCACAGTGCTCTGCTGAAGACTGGGCGCTGGGGGAGAGGGGAGATTTATGCTCCAGGTGCCCCGGCCGGGGCTGACCTGGGCTCCGCAGAGGTGCAGCTAGCAAGCTGGTGCTCTGGGTGCTGGGCTGAGGGCGGCCACACCCCGGACAGGACTGAGCCCTCTGAGCAGAATTCCTTTCTGCCCTAAGGGTGCCCTCTTCCTCCTCCCCGCCGGCCTGCCCGGGGTGGAGGAGGAGGAGGTGGGCATTCGGTCTGCTGCATTCCTGGGGCAGATTAAGGGCCCCTCATTGTGTCTCCGGTGACACACCCACCCGGAAACATCCCCGGAATGGGCTTCCCTCCAGCCCCTCCCACCCAGGAGGCCCAGTGGCTACAGCTGCGCCCAGTAGGGCTCCAGAAAAGCATGTTGGGTGCCCCCTTCTGGGAGGTACTGGGCACCGGGTGCCCAGGCTCGGGGGAAGCCAAGCAAAGATGGAGGGCCTGCTTGTGGCCCTTGGGACTGGGTCCCTCGACTCCTGTCAACCACCCACAGCCTGTCCTTCAGTAGGCAGCACCATCTCAGCACCATCTGCTGGGTCCAGGACCCCTGTCAGTTCTGAAAGCGCCACATGGCCTGTGTGCCCCCTCTGTCTCTGCCTTGGGTTTGTCTCTGCCTCCTTTGTTCCACCCCTCGGGTCTCTGGTCTTTCTTCCCTCTCTCTCTCTCTCTCTCTCTCTCTGCCCCTGCCCTTCCCAGGGGCCGTGTCTACGTCCATCTCGTCCTCTTGTCTCCTCTCTGTCTCTCCCCCTCCCTCCACTTGTTTTCACTCTTCCACCCCTGATTCTCCCTGGCTCTGCTGCAGCCCAGGAGTGGAACCGTGAGACATCCTCCATGCCCAGCCTGGTGAGGGAATCATCCAGGCTTGGCTCTCAAGCAAGGGGCTGGCGCCATGGGCCAGCCAGACCCTAGAAAGTGGACCATCCACATGGGGCCTGGGACACACACCCAGCCACCTACTCCACGTACTTCACGAGGACTTTGAACAGAGCTTCCCCAGCAGGCGTGCTGGGCTGTGTGGACAGAGCGGCTAGCCAGTGGGCCGCACTGCCAGCATGACCTGGCTTCTAGCCCAGAGCCGACCTGTGCTGCTTTCCTGTGCTGTGCCTGACCTGGTTACCCCCAGTGTGGCCCAGCGGCAGCCCTGGGAGCAGCTGTCCCGCCCTGGCTGGGTACAGCCGTCCCTGGAGGACCTGGGCTGCGGGCAGAAGAGGCACGGTTCTGAGTTTGGCCCATCCCAGCCAGAAGATAGTTTCTCATGTTTCCTGGGGCATAAAGGGCCTAATTAAATTATTCTCCGAAGTGGGGGTCCTTCAGAAAGTGGATCCTTTTAACATGACAACACACATAGGCTCCCCGCACAACCAGGCTGACAAAAGAGAACCTGTGTCTGCCCCCCAGCTTCAGCGAACCCCCTCTTCTGCCCTCTGGCATGGATGCCTCCCTAGGGCTCCCCAGCCCTGCACAACCATCAGTGCTCCGAGAGGCGGGGACTGGGGTCTCAGTCTGGGGCAGAGGCCCACATGCTGTGCCTGTGGGCACTGAGGCCAAACCCTGCATCTGTCCTGCCCGGTAAGGCCGCACCACGTCCTTCACCGTCTCCCTTTCTCTCCCTCTCCCGCAATCAGTGGCGGCCAGAGGAGTCCGAGGACTATGTAAGTAACAGGTGTGCGAGGGTGCGTGGGCAAGACCTGGGTCAGACTGGGCTCGTGGGACCCTCCCCCCTTCTGCCTGCCCTCCCAGCCTGAACTGCCATGGCCCACAGGGCACCAGCCACATCGGGAGAAAGTCAGCACTTGGACACCAGCCCCTGCTGAGCCGTGATTGGCACTGCCTCTGATCCTTCCTTCTCGCCTGTCGAAAAACAATTTGAGGCCAATGTTCACAATCGACCGGGGCCTGGGCCCTGCTCAGGCCAGACAGGGATGGAGCTAAACCCGATCCTGTCTGTTAGGCCTTATTGATCCCGGAAGTGAAAAATCACCTGCCTCCAGGCCCAGGCTGGGAGGGCAGTCAGGCGCCAGTCCCTGCGCTGGGGTGTTCTGCCTCAGCCCTGGGGGACCCTCCAGCTGGGGCAGGAGGGGCCTGTGAGGGGTTGGAGGCGGCAGCAGGGACCCCCCCAAGGCTCAGAGCTGGAGGGACACAGGGTTGGTGGTGACAGCCGTGGTCCCCCTGCACGGCGGTCCCTCTCTCCTCCCCCTTCCTTCTGCGTGGTGTGGCGTGGCCTCCGTGGTGTTTCTCCGCATGTCCAGAAGCGAGGCCTCTGCTGGAGGTGGGCTTAGGGGGCACGTTCTGCGGAGGCGGGAGGGCCCAGCCCGGACCCTCCACCCCGTGGGAACCAACTGGGGGCTCCATTTCCAGGTCTACAGGCTCCCTGTCTCTCCTCCCTATCTCTCCTCCCTGTTCAAATGAGAACAGGGATGCTGCGGGGAGTGAGATGTTCCCTGGGTGGGGCTCAGATGGAGGCAGGCCTGCTTCTCCAGGGTGCTGCCTTGACATACACACACATTGTGTGTGCATCCGTCCATCCCTGCCGGCCGCTGTGGCCTGTGTCTGCACGTGCGGATGCAGAGCAGAAGGCTGTGTGCATGCGAGACCCTGTGCCCGTGTGTGTGTGTGTGTGTGTGTGTGTGTGTGTGTGTGTGTGTCTCTCTCCCCACACCTCTCTCTGTCTGTCTCCATTTCCGTGTCCATCCCCACCCGTCCGTGTGTGTGTGTCTGTCTGTCTGTCCGTGTCCATCCCCACC